TGGGGTTCGACGAATACTTTTTTATTATCATTAAAATTTATACGAAATTGTCTAATCCATCTAGTTAAGGGACACAGTCTTACATCAATTTCTCGAGACTGGAACATCAGATATAACTTTCATGGGTCATGGGTCGCGATCAAGAGCTAGAGTGAATAGCTTTCAGCCTATACTCCCTTTCATTTTTCCTTTAAAGTCCATTTAAAGCAAATTTAAAATTCTTTAAGAAGACAAATTATATAATTATATAGTCAAACAATTTATTTCACTTAAAAATGTGCAAAACTTTATGTTGGGGCAAAGTGCCCATTTGCTGCGATTTTTACTCAGTCTTGTTTGTCGTAGAGATAAATAGAAGGAATCTAAAACCACTTCGCAACGGATTAAAAACATTAATCTAAATTTAAAACAAAAGAAATTTGCTGGCAAAACATATTGGTCAGTATAATTTCTAATTGCTGCAGATATTTATATGCTTCTTACCTTTTTACTTTCGCCTCTTGCTTTGCAATCTGGACAGTGTTTTGGAGGATTTGTCTGTGGGGGGGAGTTCATAAACATTTATAGTAGACACGGGGAAATCCCTGATTAACCATCCTCTAAAAATCAAACATTTAAAAAAGTCTAAAACCTTCCCGGAAAAAATATCATCGATAAAAAGTTTTGAAAATTATTCTCATTGAAAATATAATGCTTACTTATATATTATGCTTCATGTTTTTAACACTTTTAAAGAAACAAAAAACAATTGAATCGATTTTTAATCTTCAAAATAAGGATTTCCATTTTAAGTCTCCAGCGCGGTACTTCTAGACGACCCGGCGGACCTCGAAGAACCTCTTGAGGTAGTAAATCTGTCCAACAGTCATCGAGACGAGGACAAGGGCCTCGAAGAACGACCACATCACAACCCTGAAAAATTCGGAAAATAAAAAATAATCACATTTTAAAGAAACACTTTTTAAAGGAACTGTAAACTTAATTTCAAGGGTACTCTATGATTGATTCACAACGGTACCCTTGAAACCATCATCTGTTCAATAATGTGGAAAATATTGTCCCTTTTCTTAAATCGTTGTGAATCGAGCATTGCCTTGCATTGCATATAGCGTCACATAATATAACGCTTACAATTCCTTTAAAAAGGACTAACGAATTTTGACAATTTTTTTTTCTTTCGGCTCTATATTAAGGTTTCTTTGTGACTCGTTAGTGGAACTTTCTATTTGAAGATTGCATGCATAGATTGAAAAGAGAAAATTGTATTTAAATTCTCGTAAGTATTTAAACCCTTCAAATATATTAACGACAAGTAAGAACCAAAACAAAGTTTTTGCCACAAACTAAAATTTTAAAATTCTCATATCTTTGCAACCTGATTGTATAAAATTTGTATAGTTCAAACTTAGATTAATCTGAACGAACAGAGAAAAACTGTTTGAAATATTATGTTATAAAAATAAAGAGTTTGTAGCAAGAAATCCTACAGTTTAGTTATTGAAATTGTAAAATATTATAACCTTGAGTTAGTTGAATCATTGATATTCCTATGGATCCTGTCTCTAACCTAAATAAGAAATGTTTAGATTCTAATAAAAAACAAGAAGAACAGGGTGTCCCAGATCATAACGAATCAAACCTAGAATAGAAATGTTTAGGGAGCAATTCTAATAAAACAAGAAGAACAGGGTGTCCCACATCATAACCAATCAAACCTAGAATAGAAATGTTTAGGGAGCAATTCTAATACAAAACAAGAAGAACAGAAGAACAGGGTGTCCCACATCATAACCAATTAAACCTAGAATCGAAATGTTTAGAGATCAATTCTAATAAAAAACAACATAACATAACCAATCAAAACAGGACCCAAACTGCAAAGCAAATTGTGATTGCTAATTTAATATCTCATGATTTGTAGTGTTAAAGAAAACTGTGAAAATGTGAATATTGGAAGGCGCAGTGCAGAGCTCTAAATTGGGATTTTCGAGACCATTTTCGAGGTTCCTATAGCTGGCAACCCTAGTCTCTCCCTGCTTGTCAGCCTTTCCTCTCTTCATCATTATTCACTTGGATCAATCCATATAAAGCTACTTTCTTGTTGAGTAGAAAGCATGCACCCTTTCGCTGCGAGAGATGATGACAGCCGCCCCTCTGTCCTCCTACATCCGTCAAGTGGACATAACTGCTTAACCAGATTTTGGCTTCAGATGATTTTGAAATCATACCCGTGAACATCAGTCTGGATACCAATCCAGTTACTGGCTTCAGACAAGTGTGCTTAACCTTAATGATCTAAAGAGAAATGGTGTTACACATTAGCCACCCCACCTACAAAAAAAACTAAAACTGAAAACTGAAGAGTAAGCTAGCTGCAAAATACACCAAACAATTGCAATGCAAGGGGAGAGGGTAGTGACCTTGCTCACTCTACCCCCCCCCCCCCTCGTGCCCTCAAGAATTTAATACAGTTCCGAAAATACAGGGTTCGGAAAAATAGTTCTTTCTTGTAAATTGGCTTATTACAAGGACATCCAAAAAATCAATTTCTTTTTATTTTTAAATTAGCCGAAGTATGATTGAAGGATGGACGATCCAAAAAAATGAAGAACAAGAAATATAAAAATCTCAAAATATTTCCATCTGATATCATAAAAATTTTTAAAAATATTTAAAAATCTAATTAAAATAAATCATTAAAGTTAAAAATAAAAAAAGTTTATATCCATCTCTCTTTAAAATATTGTTTTTCGCCAATTTAAGTTGACTTTAAATACTAATTAAAACAGGGGAAATGAGTTTTTTTTTTCATGAAAACTTTGTACATTACCGAAAAATCATTTTAGAAAATTAATCAAGCTTAATGATAAAATAGATTTCTCTTTTTTAAATTGAAAAAAGAAACTGAATTTAATTAAAGAAATTTTTCTTCTTCTGAGAAATAAGAAAATTTGCCCTTTGCAATAACTTTTACATTTCTTTCTAATGCTTTCAGATTTAAATCTTTTTTTGAAAATTGAGTTGGAAAAATTATTTAATATATTTCAAAAGATATCTTGAGATTAAAGCTGTGCAATGTGGGAATAAATAATAATCCGGGATGAACATTTTCGTAAAAGAATCTTCTTAGATTTCTTATTTTTAGAGGAGAAAAAAAAATATTTTTTCTTGGTTAAAAACTAAAAAAAAATACCTGCATATACTCCTTTTCATGTTTAACTTCTGAAATATACCTGCATATACTCCTGTTCATGATTAACTTCTGAAATATACCTGCATATACTCCTGTTCATGCTTAACTTCTGAAATATACCTGCATATACTCCTGTCCATATTTACCTCCTGAAATATACCTGCATATACTCCTGTTAATGCTTAACTTCTGAAATATACCTGCATAAACTCCTGTTCATGCTTAACTCCTGAAATATACCTGCATATACTCCTGTTCATGTTTAACTCCTGAAAGTGAGGTAGAGAGCTCCTTAATCATCTCCTCCAGCTTGTTGTGGGTGATCTCCCCCTCCCCCCCTTCTCCTCCTGGACACGGGTGTAAATGTTAATTGAGGGGTGTATATTTACTAATTTTTTTTCCCCCTTTGCAAAATCATTTTTTCCCCCAGAAAATATATGTTCTTGTGCGGAGCGCAACATTTTTCAGGGTTTTTATTTCCAGAATTAAAAATAACTGATCTTATAGGGAAAAAGTATTGAAAAAGTATCAAAAAGAATGAAAAAAGTTGTAGAACCCCTGAAAAACTGAGAAAACAATCTTGATTTAGGAATATCCAAAAATACTTTGTCATATTCTGTTTTATTAAGAATAAAAACATGAACACCCCTGCTTCAGGTTCTGCAGGACTCTCAGAGACTTCCATGTTGAACATCACAATCTTGGTGGTCATAGAGGACATCTTGTTACTGAAGCAGTATCTGTACTCTCCGTCCATGTGGGCAGCAAAAGTGTATTTCCCGTTGGATTCCCTAGAATATATTGTGAATGATTAGAGTGACACAACTCTTTTTTGTTGTTGCGAAATTTCTCACATGGTGTTATGTTTATATGGAGGGAAATATCTGGAAATCATAGTAACTGGAGGAATTGTCCGACTTTGCCTTTGGAATTATAAAAAATCGATTTTTTTAGCGTATGTTACTCGCATGGGTTCCCCTAAAAATGCTTAGCCATTTCGGCAAGACGTTTGGCCAGTTATAGCTGACATATATATATATAATGTTTCAAGTGATACGTGGTTTGATTTAGATGGAGCAGGAGTATATAGGCTAACTCGCCTAACAGCAGATCCACTTAATTTGATACCCTCCCGGTCGAAATTGAAAGTGAGATCCAATTTTTTTAGTCAATGAGTAGTGAATTTATGGAACAGTTTAGGCCATATTTTTAGTGTGTTTTAAACTTTGTTAGTTTAGAAAACTTCACACGAGACGGTTTTGAATGAAAATGGCTGCTGACCTGTTTCCTTCATGAATAGTTTTAGCATCTGGACCAACTATCTTAACATCAATATCTAGAAACCCTCCTTCAGCAACCTCGAATATTAACCCCATCTTGGTTCCTGTCTTCACCTACAACAACAACATCAACATCAACATCAACATCAACATCAACATCAACATCAACATCAACATCAACATCAACATCAACATCAACATCAACATCGACATCGACATCAACATCAACATCAACATCAACATCAACGTAATCAACCTCATTAAAGATAAAAAAGAAACTCTTGTTAACAGACCTTGTCAAAGAATCAAGTACAAAATAAACCCTTGTTAACAAACCTCGTCCAAGAATCAAATTAAAGATAAACTCTTGTTAACAAACCTTGTCAAAGAATCAAATTCAAAATAAACCCTTGTTAACAAACCTTGTCAAAGAAGCAAGTACAAAATAAACCCTTGTTAACAAACCTTGTCCAAGAATCAAGTACAAAATAAACCCTTGTTAACAAACCTAGTCCAAGAATCAAATTAAAGATAAACTCTTGTTAACAAACCTTGTCAAAGAATCAAGTACAAAATAAACCCTTGTTAACAAACCTAGTCCAAGAATCAAGTACAAAATAATAACACACCTAATAAGAATCAAATTCAAAATGAACCCTTGTTAAAAAAACCTTGCTAAGAATCAAGTACAAAAAACCTTTGGTTACAAACCTTGTCGAAGAAGCATTCTTCTGAATGAGCTTCTATAGTTACAAAGTAACCTCTGATCCCAGGAACTATAACTACAAGGAGAAGACAAAGGGCATTTCTTAAATAAGTCATCTTCTGAAATTATATTAAATGTGAAGAAAATAGCATATTTTTTGTTTCAATTTTAATATTAACACAAAATTAGTTTCCAGGAAAAATCGTGATCATTATTTAAAATAAAAAAATATTTGTTTTTACTCAGTATTTATTAGCACAAAAATTTTTTTTCTTCGTGCAATAAACAGCAGGTTCTATAATCAATCATTGTGGATAAACAGTGATGTAACTACGGGTTTCTACCCCCCCCCCCACACACATTTGACTCAAGCATGATCATGATTCAAAACCATCTTTTATCAAATTTTGCCGATTTTCTTTGGAGCTTCGCACATAATTTCTAATATTTCTTACTATTTTCTCGTTTTCGACTTAAAGAAGTCATTCATTCTTAATTTATCGTCTAAAAAAAACCTGTATATATGTTACTTCTCGTGACTATTAAAATACATATCATTTAAGGTTACACAAAACCTGACAACCTAAGAATAAAAAGAAATAAAAAAGGGATTATATCGGAAGACTTTTGAAGACTTTCAGAGGAAAAAAGAGATAAGCCCCTTACAATAAAACAAGGACCAAGGGACTTCGATCAGAAAGAATATTAGTATTATGGATTATGGACTTACTACTTAGAACTGCACAGACCTACGATCAAGGGACTATATAGTGGACGAATATGACAAGCATAGGTAAATTACAAAAAAAAACTGCTACATACAGTACAGTAATAAGGGATCGACTTTATTTAGATAGTGAAAATGACTAAACCAGGGACTAACAGCCACTAAGATATACATAAAAACAAACAAGAGAACAATTTATGGACCCTCCCTCCTTTTATTAATTTTGTGCATGGATCTCATATGTAACACATAAATATAATTGACCGTGTGGCCACAGCGCCCGGCCGCCAAGCATGTCCTAGCCGCGGCGCTCGGCACCCTGGATAATCAGAATTTTTTCGGTCTGAGCCAACCAATAACAGTTTAAAAATGTCGTTTTTTTACTTAAAACCTGAATACAGCGCTTTCGGGTACGTCCTAGTTTACGATTTTTGAACCTCCCCCTCCTATCAATTTTAAACCTAGCTTTCAAACTATAAATAAACATGGGATAATCAAGTGCAGGGTTTTCTAATAAACATGGGATAATTAAGTGCAGCGTGTTCTAATAAACATGGGATAATTTAGTGCAGGGTGTTCTAATAAACTTGGGATAATTAAGTGCAGGGTGTTCTAATAAACATGGGATAATCAAGTGCAGGTTGTTCTAATAAACATGCGATAATTAAGTGCAGGGTGTTCTAATAAACATGGGATAATCAAGTGCAGGATGTTCTAATAAGCATGGGATAATCAAGTGCAGGGTTTTCTAATAAACATGGGATAATTAAATGCAGCGTGTTCTAATAAACATGGGATAATTTAGTGCAGGGTGTTCAAATAAACATGGGATAATTTAGTGCAGAGTGTTCTTATAAACTTAGTGACGATTCTTCGAAATGGAGAATTAGTATCTTAATACCTAATTTTGAAAATGCTGTTTGGTTAATCTTCAGAAGTATGTTATATGTCTCAATTATATCTGCTTGATAAACAATGAAGAAAGTGCTAAATATTTAGACTAAAATATAATTATGGGATTTATTTCACGAATAATGAATGAATTTTTGAGAAAAAATTCTTAAAAGAGAGTTCAAGAATTTGCCAGTTGGGATTTAACGTTTTATTTTTCCCTCCATTAATCTTTAAAAAGGGATCCTTGGAGAACTAGAAAGCATAAAATTATATAAAATTAAAATGAAACTTACATAAATTCTTCAATCAGCTTTGGATCAAAAATGTTTTATTTGTTTGATTGGTCTGCAGGTGAAAGTATACAAAATGTGTTTACATAAAAATAGGGATTCGAACAATCATTTTTTAGAAAACTATCATGATGGGAAGGAAGCTGTCGATGAATCGTATTTGATGGCCTACAGGCAGGGGCATATGCATGAGGGGAGTTTGAAAACTAAAAAATCTTTGACACAACCCCCTCCCCCCTGAATGTCATAAAAGGGTAAGCCATACCCTGGACCAATTCATGTAAACGCCCCTATGGAATCTAAATTATTGTCCCGAAAGATGAGTTTACTAAAGGGGATCCTAAAGAAAATTTATGGATGCAAAAAATCTTATTCATTCCCCCCCGCCCCCCTCCGTTATGTTTGTCCGTCTAATGCGGTGAATCGCTTTCACTCTCCTCTGTTTCGCCCAATCCATCCTGCAGGACCAGCAGTCATGTACTCCTGTTTACCGTTGACCAATAGAAGAAGCAAGTGCAAAATNCACCCTGTGTTACCTATCTATTTCCGCCATAGTAGTTTAGTATGTGAATTAGAAGGTGGCTGATGCAGATTTATAAATATTAACATTTATGCAGTTATATATTACTACCTGTAGATTTCAGGGGAAAATATTCATCCGTTGTTTCAATTAACACGTCCCGCATTTTTGATGACTAGATTCTACATTTTGAAATAGATTTATCATTTTAGAATATACGTAAATACCCCGCTTTGTATATTGTTGAGTAGTGAGTGTAGAGTTGTGTTTATTTTAGGATGTAAACAAGTGTACGTTTGTCAGTGTACACTAGAGAAACTTTTAAAGCGAATAGACTCGAAAGCATTTGGAGGATTTTCTAGACTCGAACAGGGTTTACAATTATTTTATTCTTTAAATAAAATTTAGGTATTCATCATTCATAACATATTTTGTTAATATTTGTTCAAAAAAATCACTTTTTAAAAAAAAAATTTAAAACCCCTAAACAGTCTGCTACAGGCTAAAATCTTGGACAAATATTTAATATGGCGGCTCAGGCGCTAGCTTAAAAACAAGTTATTCGAATGAAGAAAACGGTTTCCAACGGTTTACGGATTACATTATCATGTTCACGATCAAACCAAGTAGACTAAGAAAATGTTTGGAGATATCTGAAGGTGAGAACATTTTTATATAAGAGTTATTAACAGATAAGTTGATACCGTTTTCAGAAAAAGAATTTTAATTCACATATATATTCATATACAGAATGGGCGGAATAGGGAATATTGATATTTGGATATATATGTAATCGATGTAATCTAATTTGACATATTGAATAATTTGGGCATATGAGTCTGTAAACTCATCCACCCCTTTCTTTTTGTTTCTTGTTTAACCCTTCTTCTTGTTTACCCAATTTGTATTAAGTGCCCCCCCTTGCCCCTAAAGTTTACATTACATGTATTGTATACTGAGTAGCTGAGTTAGGAACTAAGGCTGGGCAACTGGCCCAACTCTTGTATATATATCTCATGGACAATGTTGACAGTATAATTGACCCTCAAGAATATGTATTATGACATTCGATTTTCTTATTTCATTTTTATAGTTATGAATGTCATTGGCATTGACATCGTTAAGTCATAGATTGACATCCTTGCCATTGAAATCATATTCATTGACATCATTGTCAATTACATATTTTCATTCATATATTTATTCAACTACAAAGCATGAGATATTACAAATAAGCAATCACCATTTATTATGCAGTTTGGACCCGCCTAACCAGGGTTGGTTGTTTTGAGTGGTTGGCCCGAAGTTAATTAACGATACTGATTATAATTGGTTCCAAATATCAAAATATGTTTTTGGATATTTAAGGAGTTGATTGGAAGGAAGGAGATTGTCAGGTGATATGTGGCAGGGTGAGATCAGAGGGATTTTTATGTAGAGATAAATTAAAATACAGGGTGTTAATGATGGTAGTTACAGAAACAGAAATAAGCTAATAAAGTTTCAGTTATTTTAGTTTTTTTATATAAAATTTATTCACACGATATACAATTTGTAATTGAAATATTTGTTATTGACATATTTGTCATTGACATATTTGTTATTGACATATTTGTCATTGACATATTTGTCATTGACATATTTTTCATTGACATATTTGTCATTGACATAATTGTCATTGACAGAACTATCATTAACATAACTGTCATTGACATAATTGTTATCGACATAATTGTCATTGGCATCATTGTCATTGATTGACATCATTGTCATTGATTGACATCATTGTCATTTATTGACATCATTGTCATTGATTGACATCATTGTCATTGATTGACATCATTTTCATTGATAAACATTATTGTCATTGCCATTTGTGACGATGACATCAACATATCATTGTCAAGGCATCATTATCATTGACATTATTGGCCATGGCATATTAATTTCATAGGTCACGTTTTGTTTTGTCCAATGAACATTCATTTCTATGAATCCATTGGATAAAGTTATTGGTTGGAATTTAGTATTATTTATTTTCTATGGCTTCAAGTAGTATTTGTTTCTAGTATAGAAGCACTAGTAGTGAACACAATCTTATACTATCAACCTTATTTTTATCGAGGACCTAAACATTTTAATATTTAGCAAAATCTTAATTTTTTCAGCAAAAGAAATTTTGATATAAATACTTTATTTAATAGTTCATTAAAAAAAATAAGATCTCTTATTTTTGAAGGGTTCGTTTGACATTAAATTTTCTGGAAACTTTTTAATGCAACGCGTCTGTGTAAGTTTTTGTTTGTCCTTTAAACAAAGTGCCCCTCATGACAAAAAAGGACTCCGCCTTCTAAAACTTAAAGTTTGAAAAAAATCTTTCCTTTTTTCCCTCGATTCAGAACAAAGGATTAAAATCAAGATCTTTCAACATAGAATGTGTTTACTTAAGATTGATATGTAACAAGTTTATGTTCAAAATATTGGCTTACAACTTCCTTTTAGTCTTCTTTTTGAATCCCCCAACCCTCAAAAAGTGTGTTTTCCCCCTGCTAAATAAATGTTGTATGTTCACTTTTACGATTTAATGTTAAACAAATTAAATCTTCTGAAATAATATTTTTTTGTTCACACAACATTCTCACGATTTATTTTATTAACGAGAATATTGCCGATTAATAATGGTATTATTGAAGAATTACAAGAAAAAGGGTCTGATATATAGGGTTAGGGCTGGGCATCCTTCCTTAACGAATGGCAAGTTTTTTTTGAAAATTTACTGACTCCGTTTACAAACGGCAAAAACTGTTATTTTTTAAATCTTTTATTTATATAATCGAATGGATGTGTTTCAAAATAACGGCGACTTTCGTTAAAATTAAAATTAAAATTGCAAGAAATTTATAGAAAATTAATTTTATTTAATTGATGTTTTTTAAGTGATTTGATGTTTTTTCTTCAAATTTTTCCTCCTATTTTTAAATGAAATAATAATAATAAAATCGAGATCTTCAACAAACGAAAACTGTGAGAAAGGACGGAAAATACCGTTAATGGAACGTCAATTCTTGGTTAAAGAGAACGAACGACTACCAGAATTTAACTAACGATTTTAACTAACCCAACAACTTTTAGATTTGAAAAATATGCAAAAAAAGATCTGAAAGTAAATTTTTAAAATCCGGGTTTGTCTGTGTGTTTTATTTCACGATTACAATAACAAAAAAGAATTCTTTAAGCGTACGCTATTTCTTAAAGACCACGCTTATGAGAAATATGTATAAATAAACAAGATTCGAGTCTGTCATCAATTTTTTATTATTTTTCTGTTCAGGGCTTTAGATTAAACAAAAAACACGTGTACCCTATATAGCGCAGACTGACAAGTTAGAGTTAAACTTAAACATAAATTGTTCAATAATTATGAAGACAAAACATTTTTCATAACTTTTAGAATAAGTAATAAAACCAAATTTTAATTTCTTTTAAATATTTTTTAACAAGTTTCTCAATAGCTCTGAAGATCATTTTTTAAAAACCACTATGAAGTGATAACTTCCTGTGAAGTAGTTATTATTTTAAGATTTGTTCCGTTGAAAAAATTCAGAATTTTCCTTTCATTGACAATTTGACATATGATATGCTTCCGGCTATTTCTAAATTAGTAAACATTGTCAAATCTTTGAATTTTCTTTAGTTTTATCTGATATCCTGGGAAACTAAATAACCTTGTTTTGTTACGGTTATGAATTTAACAGTAAAAGTGATAAATTAGAGTGTAGACGAGTGAAGATGGTTAAAGAAGGAAGGAGGGGGGTGTAGGGGGGGGGCATAATATCCCCTCCCCTTGTAGAAATGATATTCTCCCCCCTGTAGTAATGCGAATAATACGCCAATTGCATTTTTGTTAAAATTTGACATCATTTTATAACATTTTATAGAATTTCGCCACACCCTCTCATAATACACTACAGTTACGCCTACGATGATAAGGTCAACTATTCTCAAAATGGCGCCTGTTTTGCGCACGCCGCCAGGCAATTGCGTATTTCGTGTGAAATACGCAAGGACAAATGCAAATCTGTACATCTTGTGTTCCTCCAAGCGGAAATATGTTAATTAATGATTTGGATCTTTTTCTTTAACGTCATATTAGAGCTTAAAATCAATATATAAAGCTATATGTAAACATTGTCAATGATTTACGTTCAGAATGTACTTACTTACATAGGGCCTTAAGAGGACTGCTGTAGTTTTATGGTACACGCCCAATTCACAACAGTACCCGTTCAACATTTATAAGGACTTTACTGAAAAATTTAGATACAAAATATGCTTTGCTGTACTGTAAACATTTTGTAGAAAAGTTTGTTTATTCAAAGTTATTTTGATTTCAACATTGCATTGTATGTTAGGTCGTCGTTTGTATTCAAATTAGGTGAGGATACAATAGCGGGGTATGTGTAGGAATTTTACCGAGGTATCAATCACTTCTAGAAAATGAGATTACCTCTTGATTTGTAGATTTAACATAACATTGAGCTTATATTTTTTATTGAAGGAGATTTTTCTCCAAACTTCCACAAACAAATGTCAAAATTGTTTGTATTTGTAAAAAATTCAGAAATATTCATGACCTGATGTCGGATCCATTTTTTGTCTGGGCAAATCCGGAAATGGATCCTTTGCAATGCACGAATGTATAAGATTAAATCTTTTTTTTCTGAGTTAGATAAGTACTTTCAGATCTGGAATTGGCTTATTATTATTGTATTATTTTCTCATATTTTTTATTAAGATATGAGATTCCCTCTTTCTTAAACATAACAATGGCATTATGATTGTTTCGTAGTTTTGCATATAAGATTAAAATAAATTTTCAGTAATCAGTTTAGTTTCTTAAACAGATAGGATCAATTGGAAAGGAATATCCATGTATATTCTTATTTTTTTTAACGAGAAAAGACCATTTTTGTTTCTCAAGCACGAATTTGATGATTTTGTTAAGTATTTATAACAAATTTGCCAAATTGCACAAATGGGGTGGACACTGGACATAGCTTTTTTTAAGTACTTGAGGGAAATTTTGTAAAATACTTGGTGGAAGGGGAATTTTTTAAAATACATGTTTGTAGGGGAATTTTGTAAAATACTTGGGGTAGGGGAATTTTGTGAAATTTTTGAGGGGTTTGGGGAATTTAGCAGAATACTTGGGGTAGGGGAATTTTGTGAATTTTTTAAGGGTTCGGGGAATTTAGTAAAATACTCGGGTAGGGGAATTTTGTGAAATTTTTAAGGGGTTTTGTGGAATTTAGTAAAATACTAGGGGTATGGAAATTTCGGAAATGTATTTAACCTTGAGAATATATTGAACTGGATGAAGTATAACTCGACAGTAATCAATAGTTGAGAAGAACCAACATTGCAGCAGCTGAAACTAGATCACACAATGTCAAAGGAATTAATGGGATAAAGTCCCCTCCCCCCCCCTCCCCCACCTCTACCAACAAACAACAAAAAAGTGTCAAAACTTTAATGAAGGGTTAGAAGAAAATCTTTCTTTTTGGAAAATTTCGACCTAAAAATAAAAATATTATATATAACAAGAAACTGCTATTTTTTTCAGGGTTTATGAAATATCTTTTTTTAAGTGATTTTGCATTATTTTGTTATTTTAAATTCAAACTAGCTGATGTAAAAACATTTTAAAGATTTAATTACTGAAAAGTTAAAATGAAACTAGCAAATCTGTACTCAAATTATAAGAAAAGTTGCGTTTTATTTCTTGCAATAGAATTCTTTGAAAATTAAGAAAAATAAAATTTTATGATATTTTGTTTTGTTAAGAATAATTTCAAGTTTTAAAAAACAAGTTTTATATCTTTTATGTAAATATTAGTTTAATCAAACTAAGATTATGAACTTGTAATTACTTAAATATGTTTATTACCATGAAGGTCGTTGTTAGTTAGCTGAGGGTTATTAAATTTGGTATGTTTGCTCACTTTTTTTGACAAAAAAATGCAAAATGCCTATTAGTCCCTGATGTACTGCTCTGTCGGGATGTTTAACTATTTAATTGTCCCTTGGGTTAAAAAAATATTAAATTTTTTTGTTAAATATTTTTTTTCACTCGCGGATTGGATCTCCATTAAAAAAACATATTAAAAATGCACAGGAACAATCTTTGCAGATTGGATGAAGGAGCGGGAGAAAAATTCCTCTTTTACAAAAAATATTCCTTACATACTTAGCTGCTTTTTTTAGAAAATAGAAGAGAATAGTTAGGTCTTGTTTTGCTTTATATTTAATTATTCTACTTAACATAATCCATAATCATAATCTTTAACCTTGTCCTACGTTTCAAACTATAGAATCACAAATCAATAAATCAATAAAAACAGGGATTTTTAAGCGACTTGATCACAAAAAAAAACAAGGGACTAAGGAACGGATTAAATCAATAGCCTTGCGGACTAAGTTAAACCACTTTTCTTGTGTGCTGAGTCAATCTGAAGAGAAGTGGTTCACCTTTGTCTCGCTATTTGTTTGATCCAGTGATTAGGATCCGCAGCACTTTGGCTTCCTGGATCCGAATCCTCAAAAATATCCGGATCCAAGGGGCAAAATATCAACAAAAAACGAAAAAAGTTGCTCAATAAATATAAATTAAAATTGTTCACTAAAGATATATCAACAAAAATTTCCAAATTTCTGAATGTTTCACTAAGTTCCAGCAAAACAAAATGAAGAAAAATATTTTAAAATCAGTAAATCTTAAAGAAATGTTCAGGATCCGGATCAGGGTCCCATTTTTTCCAGGGGGGATCCGGATCACAATGAAATGGATCCTAAAAAATGCCTGTATCTGATGCTGGATCATATTAGTAATTGCAAATAATATACCACTGTATAAAAAAGTTTTCCTTCCAAAAATATTTCTTTGAAATGACATCAAGATGAAAAAATTCTTAAATTTTTATTCTTGCTTAATCTTGTGGATAAGCGTGGTTTCTTTCTCATATCTTTTACAAAGATTTACAATAAACAAATATTCTTAGGACATTATGTACGTTCATTCATTATATTTAAAGGTTAAGGTAAAAATACGGCCCCCCCCCTCACAATAAAAGCTTTCAATTGGAATTTGTCATCCGTGCAAAACTATGATGTTATAACTAAGTAAAATTGACTTGCGAATTTTTGCAGCAAAGACAACGAAGGAAATTTTCAAAATTCGTTATTTCTTAAGAAAGAAAAATGGTACCGTTGTCAATCGAACACGCCACTATTTTTAAATCTAAGGTCGCTTGCAATTACGTCTACATTTCCTTCAAAAAAACTTTAACGTGTAAGACTGAAAGCGTAAGATAGTAAAACTATTGAATTCCATTCATACTTTAAATACTTTTGTCCTTGCATTCTATTGTTTAAATCATAAATCTAACACAAAGTGAAAATATTTATATGTTTTTCCGAGATAAGGCCTAAATAAAAGAGGCCGTTTTATCATTGAAGTTTAGTTTGTTATCAGAGCTTTACTTTTTAAGTTGAATGTTTTACAAATTTAAGAATATTTTTTTCAAATCTATTATTTATACATTTTATACATTCATACATTTATATTTTTCAGAGGATTTGAGGGAGATTTGAATCCATATTGTTAAGAGTGACACGTTTAAATTGTAGCTTTCATCTACAACTTAAATTTGAACCTAAATTTGGGAAAATATAAAATCGGACGAAATCCACGAAACCTGGAGCAGGAAACATTCGCAAGTACAGTGAAAAAAGTGAATTTTCGGTGATGTCCTGACAGCTTTCAGTTTCAAAATAAGCAGCTAAACTATTCCTGTCACCAAGTGACTTGGAACCGTCGACTTACAGCAAGCACATGCGACTTGAAGTCGACAGTATGTCGCATCATAGTGACGATGGCCAAGTTGTAACAGGTAAAAAAAATTTTTGTTAAATTTCATGCCTAGATTTAAAACATCAATGAATCATATTGCAATCTTATCCAAGCAGTAGCTTAGCTTTTAATCCTTATCTTCTAAAATAAGTCTTTCACAAATAACCGCAAAGTTCATGAATTATTTTCGTAATTTCCTTTAAACATTAATCTGGAATTGTTTTGAAAACAGGAATGTGGGAGGGTGAAGAACTTACTTTTTACATAAAGGGCCTTGTCGGAGAAATTTCAAATGACAACGGTTCACAACGATACCCTTAAACCCCTTGGTTAAACAAACATATTTCTTGAGTTTTAAATGCGCTTCTCCGTAAAAGTGGATTTATGGAGTCGAGGGTTTTTTAAATTATATGTTTTCAAGACAGACATGCGATGATATCTTCCCATTGTCAAACCGATGAAGAGCCAAAGAGTAATGTTGTGAATCGAACATTTAACACTTAATGCATGAGGTCACTTTAAATTACATCTAAGGTCTATCTTAAACATCTTAGGCTTTGTTTTTATTGCAACCAAAGCTGGGACTTGTTTTGTTCTTTGCTGATCAATCTGGTTTTGTTCTTAGGTTCAGAATCTTTTTGGGAACCAGGCAACTACAAGAAAACAACAAAGTAAGTTTTTTTTCCAGTTGTTGACCGATGAAAGGAAGGGGGGGGATTTAGAGTTTTCTTATTTAAGTCATACTACGGAACTTTCTTAACAAACAACAATTTATCCCGAAGGGGCGCTCCATTTTTTTTATAAAGATTTAAATGGTTCAAAATAAAACTGCCTACAATATTTCGGGGTTACTTCAATTTTGTAACTTTTCTTTTTTTCGTAATCTAATATGTTAATTGAGAGGATGCTCAACATTTATATTTTAAAATTTTGTAAAATATATTTTTCGCTTGTTTTCCATGTAGCAGGGAAAAATATTCTCCACTTAAAATCCTTAAAATTGAGTTGTTTTTTCAACATTCAAAAATTCAGTAAATAGAAGAATAAAAATTAGAATTCATTGCACTTGCTACAGGATTAAGGGCACTTGCGTACAGGGTTAAGGACACTTGCGTACAGGGTTAAGGGCACTTGCGTACAGGATGTTGGGCACTTGCGTACAGGGTTAAGGACACTTGCGTACAGGGTTAAGGGAACTTGCGTACAGGGTTAAGGGCACTTGCGTACAGGGTTAAGGGCACTTGCGTACAGGAATTCCCTCACAAAATGTCAGCCATTTTGGTCCAACCTTTTGGCGAGATATTGCTAACATGAATATTGTATATATATGCATAATAATAATATAAATATTTGAGCGATCAGCTTTATTATATAGAAGATAAAAGTAGTGATTATTCTGTTTGTTTGTATGTCCAATTATGGACCCGTGACTGATATGTCTCAAATTTTGATATTAGAATCACAGGAATATTCTTCACTTGGTGTGAAAAAAAAAATCAGTTAAAGCTGGATTCCAAAGGACTTCTTTTACTGTTTCATAAAATTTCTGTTTTTTTTTTTATTTTCGATCCATGAATGTGTTCTGAGCTGGTAACTTCAGGTTGATTTAATCTTTATTTGATAACCCGTTAAGAGTGTCGTCTGTGGAAAATTAACTGCCGATCAGAGAATGGACGAAAAAGCGGATACAAAACCAAGAGATAAATTAGATCTGCGTAAAATACAAAAGTCCCGTAAGATAGTAAAACTATTGAATTCCATGCATACTTTAAATACTTTTGTCCTTGCATTCTATTGTTTAAATCATAAATATAACTCAAAGTGGAAATATTTATATGTTTTTCCGAGATAAGGCCTAAATAAAAGAAGACGTTTTATCATTGAAGTTTAGTTTGTTATCAGAGCTTTACTTTTTAAGTTGAATGTTTTACAAATTTAAGAATATTCAGCTAGTATATCATATAAATCAACTTAGCATACTCTGGATAGGACGTATTCATTGACATACATTTATCACATTTAACAATATCCTTTGTGTTCCCATTATATGCAATTGAATATATTAAATGCACAAATATATTTAAATATTCACCCTTGCATAAATATAAAATATTAGTGTTGGAGTGTGTATAATATATGCAAGAAAATGTAAAACTATTTAGGAGGGTATAGGGTTTACATGTATTCTACTGTGATTTGAAAGGACAACATTAAGTTAAAGTGATTGCAAATACCCGGCCCTCCAGTCCTGCTCAAAAATACCAGACAAAATTAACAAAATCAAAAAAATCCCGTAGATGTAACAAAAGGTTCCTATTTTGCAGTCGTCCAACTATTGTCAAATAAGCGATTTTTTGTCGCTTAATTGGCAGTAATCCAACCTTCACTGTCAAATAAGCGATTTTTTTGATTTCGTTAATTAGAGTGCAAGTCTTGGTTACACTTTTTTGATTTCGTTAATTAGAGTGCAAGTCTTGGTTACACTATTTTTGATTTCGTTAATTAGAGTACAAGTCTTGGTTNATACGTGAATTATCACAAGTACCGTTGTAATTTGGGCTTTGTCATCTTTGCTTAGAGGTTCGCTTGAAATTACGCTTACAGTCCCTTTAACTAGTATGCAACAATACAACATAGGCTAGATTAGGCTTGTTAAATCTTATTCCCCTCCCCCTCTTCTTCCTCCGTCTCTCTTTTATTTGCTTTAACATTAAAGATTTAATAAAGAAAAATTATATTTTTTAAATAGTCATTAATAGAATTATTAATAGTATTTTGATTCTTTCCCTTTATTATATTTTGGTGATAGAAACCTAAATTTGTAAGGTTAATAATAATATTTTCTTGACACCCTGTGTAAAATTGTTTTATTTCAGTGCAAGAGCGTGCAAATATTGAGAAGGAGTATGCTAAAATGTTGAAGAACTGGTCTACAAAATGGACCAAGCAAATTGAAAGTGGTAAGCTAAACGTTATTGATAAAAATTAAAGGCAAACTGAAAGAGGTAAGGTTTACTGTTTCGATAAAAATGAAAAGATAAAAAAAATTGACATTTTAAATTCCATTTTATATATTTTGCATCTTGTAAACTTTTTTCCCGCATTCAAATAAATCTACTTTTTTTGGAGATAAATTCAGTGGGTGCCGGTTTATGGGCCCTAGAATAGTAAACGCTTTTTTTTAGGGGCCCTGGAACTTCATAATGACGACATAAGTTGTTTTTTTCTAAATTTTAGCGTATATTTTTTTCTGCTCTTGATATGGTGAAACTTTTAGCCTAAAATAATTTTTTACTGCGCGCTGTCACCACATATTTAATTTTCTCCGAAAAAAAGGTGAAAACATGCACTTTTAATTTTTTCACACTCTTTTATATGTTATCTATCTATCCTCTGATTGATCTTTGTTTACACATATATTTGTTTACTTTTAGCTTCTTTTTCATTTCTTCACTCTTCTAATGGATTGTCCTGGATAGGATGGGATGGGATGGGATGGGATGGGATGGGATGGGATATATAGATAGATAGATAGATAGATAGATAGAATCTTCCTGTAAGATTCTGTGGTTTATAGTTCTCACCTATCTGTAGGAATGAACAGGGACCCAACACTACGTTGTCACATTGTTAGATTAAAGCAGGAAACAGGAAGTAGGAAACAGGAAGGACGTACAAGATGCTCCTGTCTGCGTGATGCTTTACAACAAAAAAAATATAGGGTTGGAAGTTCAAAAAATTCATGCCGGGTTTCTGAAGTTTATGTAAATAAATGAGGGAATGATTAAATTGACCAAATTCTTTTTAAACCAATTCTTTCAGAGAATACAAAAGGTAGGGGGGATAGGTTTTTTGTATATGTTTTATTCTGACGTGCCAGAAGGTTTCTTTACTATACGGACAAGATCCGAAATTGTTTAAAATTTTTATTACTATTCCTGGAATGCGTCATAGTCAAATATGTACACAAAACCTTTCTTCCATACCTTTAGATTACCTACCTCTGATTCTACAGTTAACAATGCGTGGATGTTCTTTTTCTTGAAAAATCATCTTTGTAGAAAAAATATTTCCCAGAAGTTAGGTGTGTTTGCGCGGAGCGACCAAATTTTTTAATTCTACATATCTTCTCTGGATTTTCCAATCCTGGATTGATCCAAGTATATTTAAACATGATAAAACCCTGGCATTTAGATTTATTTATAATGTACAAGCGTACAGTAGGTTGACCTTGGTTCAGACTATCATGCATGCTGCAATGCATCTCATGCAGGGCACAGTCAAATCTACAAATATTGCATTCTGCAATTCACCTCATGCAGGGCACTGTCAAATCTACAAATATTGCATGCTGCAATTCACCTCATGCAGGGCACTGTCAAATCTATAAATATTGCATGCTGTCAATGTCGTGCTTTTCAGGGGCACAGTCAAGTCTACAAATATTGCATGCTGTCAATGTCATGCATTTAAGGGGCACAGTCAAGTCTACAAATATTGCATGTTGTCAATATCATGCATTTCAGTTGGCACAGTCAAGTCTACAAGTATTGCATGTTGTCAATGTCATGCATTTCAGGGGCACAGTTAAATCTTCAAATATTGCATGCTGTCAATGTCATGCATTTCTGGGGCACAGTTAAATCTACAAATATTGCATGCTGTCAATGTCATGGATTTCAGGGTCAACGTCAAGTCTTCAAACATTGCACAAAGATACAAGTGTTGTAATATGTGCTTCTGGATCCCCAAAAATATGCGGATCTTTTGCGCTCAAACCCAAAATCTTAACTGTTGAAAAAAGAAAAATTATCAGAAAACTCTTCATCTCTAAATGTTAATTAAGTTTCAGCATAAAAAAGAAGATAAACATTTTTTTAATTGTTCTTTTGTTCAAAGAATCAGTAAATATTAAAGAAATGTTCATGACTGCATCCATTTTTTTCCAGTGCGGATCAAGCTCAAATTAATCTTTAGGAGTGAATTCGTAATATTTAAGTTTGAGGCACGTAATCAGTTTTATTGGAACGAAAAACTATTTATTTCTGGCTTTAAAAGTAGAAATAATTAAATTTACATAATCTAAAACCTGATTGAGTGTAATCAGTAATTATACCAGATATATTTATAATTTCGTTCAGATTAAACCATCAGTCCAGCATACCAAGCTAGGTCCAGTTTAGCCTAGCTTGAAGCATAGAAATGAAATCATTTATATCTTTAGTTCCATAGACCAGATTTCTGTTCTAATCTGAAAATTAAACTTTTTATCATTTCGATTGGCATTTATGCATAAAAAGTTGTAAATATATATTTTAAATATTTGAACATAATAGTTTTTTTAATATTTAATTCCCCGGTCCATGACGTTTACCTGACCTATATGTAGTGGGAGGAAGATATAGATCTCGAGATTTTCACGGCAATAATTTAGTATTTAATCCNTCTTCACCTTCTCCTCTCTTGCGTTCAATTCAACTATACCAAATTTATATAAATGGATGTCCAAGATATTAGTTTCTTTTTATAAGCGTTATTGAAAAACAGTAATATATTATGTTACGAAATTATTCTTTTATAAACTAATAAAATATACGACACAAATAAATACAAATTTATCAGTTTTAGCGAAAATGTGATCTATATTTAGTTTAAATTTCATTGTAAGGCCCGTCAGGCACTCCTTGCTGATGTCACGTTTTTAGATTCTGTAGATCAGATTATGAAATATTATATAACTAGGCTTGTAGGGCGATTCGCGCCCATTTTCTATTTCAACTTTTAATTGTGGCTTTATCTGTGAGCATCTTCTCTTTGTACAGCTAAAACAAAAACAAAAAAGTTTGCGAATTTCTTAATATTTTTTCGCGCATTTTCAAAATTTTACAAAAAAAACTTTTAAGCACAAATTTTTTAAATTTTGATCATTCATAAACCTTCCCTGGGGTCACGTGAGGTCCCACACAAAATTTGGGCCCGATCGGTTCAGCCGTTTTGACGACAAACAAACAGACAAACAAGGGTTTCCAGTCCCTCCCTTCTTGTAATAATTTTAGCTTGTTTTTTGCAAGACTTTCTTCTAACGTCTAAACCTTTCTAAAATTTCTGATTTAGACCTTTGATATTTCCAACTTAGACTATTTGATCTTACAGAGATCATAGTTTAAAATATAAAATGTCTAAAACATCTGGTTGCAAAGCTATAAGGATTAGAAATTCAGAGTTTGTGTCAAAAACTTAGTTCATTTTCCTGTTTATATTATGATTCATTATTATTATTTTAAAATCTAAGAGCCCCAATTTTTTTAATAAAACATCACCCAAACTTCGAAGTCTCGCAAGATCTCAAACCAAATATTCTAATTAAATATTTTATTTCCAACTATAAAATGATAACTTGAATGAATATCCCAGGTCCAGAGTATGGAACAACGGAAGCAGCGTGGAAAGGTATATGCTCTGAATCAGAGAGAAGATGCGAACTACACCTCAGGTAGATTTTATGCAATTAAAGGGACTGTACGTGATATTTTAAGTGACACTCAATCCAAATACGGGAAAATATGGCAACGCTCGATTCACAACAATGCCCTGATCAATAATGTGGAAGATGTTTTCGTTTTACTAGGCTTAAAACTGTTTACTTTTATAATTGTTTTATGTTTTCGTGTAGTACAAATCCGCAAGTCACCTAAGTAGAGAAACCACAATTTAAAATAATTAGTTTTCCAAATTTTAAACATTGATATCCAATTCATACTTTATCAGACCATGCTTTTAAGGGTACCGTTGTGAATCTTGTATGGAGGGTCACTGGAAATTACCGAAACATTCCCTTTAAGCATTTAAAACTGTTGATTAGGAAGCCGATATTTTAGCAATCTTATAACTCTATTCAATATTGATATAAAGCAAATAGTCTGATGAAATAGCTTACAATAAATTGGTCTTTGTACAGTTTATAACTTCTCAATCCTCGTCCTAGTCCTCAGTTTTATGGGACTCAATGTTTATTATTGTACATCACCATAACAATTCAACAAGTTTATTACAAAAAAAAACTTTTTTTCTAGTTATTTATTCGATGTTTTGCAGGCGAAATTGGTTTATATCTATTGTGCAAAAGTAAGATTTCTTTAGCTTCCTGTAAATGTTCTCTTTGGAACCAACTTTAATATTTTTGTCGATTCATTTTTGAAGAAGAAATTTCAGAGAGCAAAACTTTTAATCCATTTAAATCAAATTAAAAAGTAGCGAGCCAATTTTTTCAGGGGTGTATCGTCCCACCAAGTTTCTAGGGGGAGATGTCCCACCCCATAAGCTGCCTTTGCGGGGGTAAAAAGAAACAAAAATGTGCATAAAAATACTGTGCTTAAAAAAATGCTTACTTGAAGCCTCCTTCTTGTCTGTATTTCTACAAAATTCTAGAATAATCTAGATAAATCTTGTTTTTTGAGTTTAACTGAACTAGATTGAACCAGGAACTGATTATGAGGAATAAATATAATTAAATTGATATTTTCTAGGGTAAAAGACAACCTGCTGAACGAAGTAGTGAATTCTATCAAGAATTGGCAAAAAGACAACTATCACAGAACTATGATGCAGGTAGTGTTCATCAGGGTTTTTTTTGGTTTTTTTTTTACTTAAAAAAAAAACTTTATTCTTTAGAGTTTGCTTTTTTTTGGACTTTGCAATAACTTTATCCTTAAAAAAATGGAAAAAAGATTCAAAAAGATTGTTATAGCACGTTCGATTTTGGTTTTTGTTTCGTTTGTTTGCTTTAATTTTTTATCAGGATCAAAATTTGGTATAGTAGAAGAAAAAAAAATTTTGAAAAGCATTTTGTTTCTATGATTAAATAATGAAATTTTAGTTGAAGGAGAAGAAGGAACTAGAAGAAAAGTTTAATAATTAAAAAGCTTATTTACCCCTAACCTAATGTTTAGTTGAAGGAGAAGGAACTAGAAGAACAGTTTAATAATTAGCTTATTTACCTCTAACCTAATGTTTAGTTGAAGGAGAAGGAACTAGAAGAACAGTTAAATAATAAGCTTATTTACCTCTAACCTAATGTTTAGTTGAAGGAGAAGGAACTAGAAGAACAGTTAAATAATTAGCTTATTTACCTCTAACCTAATGTTTAGTTGAAGGAGAAGAAGGAACCAGAAGAACAGTTTAATAATAAGCTTATTTACCTCTAACCTAATGTTTAGTTGGAAAAGAAGAAGGAACCAGAAGAACAGTTTAATAATAAGCTTATTTACCTCTAACCTAATGTTTAGTTGGAAAAGAAGAAGGAACCAGAAGAACAGTTTAATAATAAGCTTATTTACCTCTAACCTAATGTTTAGTTGGAAAAGAAGAAGGAACCAGAAGAACAGTTTAATAATAAGCTTATTTACCTCTAACCTAATATTTAGTTGAAGGAGAAGGAACTAGAAGAACAGTTTAATGATTAGCTTATTTACCACTAACCTAATGTTTAGTTGAAGGAGAAGAAGGAACTAGAAGAACAGTTTAAGAAAGCTCAGAAACCCTGGAGTAAACTGTATGAAAAGGTGAAATTAAATCATATAACTATTATACAGGGTGTCCCAATAACATGGGAGTTATGGACGAATACGAATTCGTCTTTGTTAAGAATTATCTTTGTATTACCTAATTTCAATGGTCATGAAAAAGTTACGTCTGCTAGAATATATTTTATGGAAAACGTAATTGGAAGAGTCTTATTTGTTTTTTTTGCATAACATATTATGATATTTATGCATAAAATTGAAGTGAAACAACCGCACTTTATTTTTTAAAAGCTTGGGAACCCAGCGCTACCAAGATTACTAAAATTTACTCCGCCGTTTACCCGCACTTGAACGATTTTCCCGGGAAAGTAAGTTTTTGCTTTAAAAGTCGACCCACTCAACTCAAAATCTCAGAACCAAGCTAAGAATATTCCCCTGGATCTCCCGAGTGTCCCAATAAAAATTTGAGGCAAATCCGTGCAGGGGTTCCTCAGGATTTTCTAATGTTAATACGTACAACAGGATTTAATCAAAATTTGAGCAAAAAAATTCAATAAGTTGGATCTATCTTTCTTAGTAGGGATCACCAATAATCATCTCTCTATCTCGAATTTGGCGTGTGGGTTTAGGATGTCCCTAATAGTCTGATATGAGATGATTTGATTTGAATTACCATACTAAATTAAAAAATCATTTACAAAGACAATATCAAAATCATCACTTAATGTATTATGTTTATTGGGACACCCTGTAGATAATTCCAATTCGAAACCTTGCATAAAACATTTCAGTAAATTGTTCTTTAATAAAAAAATTAATGGTTGCTCAATGCTCATCATAAAAATTATTTGTTTAAACGTAAAAAATTTCTATTTATATTAAGTTATATTCTGAAAAAAAGTAGGATTATAACATCATAATGTTAATGGTTGAGAGTATTTTTCTTATTATTATATAAAGGTTTATTTCAGTCTCGAAATATTTTTCTAGCTTTCGTAAGTTCTCAAATTAACTTTCTTGATGTTGTATTTTACCCTTTCGAAAAACATACCTAGGGAAATTTCAGGAAAAAAGGTCGAAAAATAGCTCGCAAATTAAACTTCTTTTTGAAAACATTAATCACTGCTAACTCAATTTAAAAATTGAAAAAGAACTGTACACTCACCACAAACCCTTTCTTCTCTGTATTGTGAAGCATAATGTTTTGAACCTTTTGGTTTTCCAACTCGGACTATTTGATTTTAAAGAATTTAAAGTTTGAATTATCAGAGGTCTGCGACATCAGTTTGCTTAGATATAGGGATTCCAGGTTATGAATTCTGAAGATTTACTGATTTCTGAATCTTTTTTTCTCGTTATTTTTATGCTGTAACTTGATAAACCATTCAGATATGTGGACATTTTTAATAATCTCTTTTTCAACAGTTCAGATTTGGGTTTTCAGCAGTTCAGATTTGGGTTTTCAACAGTTCAGATTTGGGTTTTCAAAAAAAATAATTTTGTTTCCATTTTTTTGTAGACATTTTGCCCCTTGGCCCTATGCCCTGATTTTAATATTAGTATTTGTGGATAACTTTTGGTTAGTTTAAAATGAAGTTTGTATTCAGGTTCAGAAAACCAGAACAGACTATCATACAGCATGTAAGAATGAGAAAACAGCGTTAAACCAAGAGAGAAATGCAAACTCCGACAGCTCATTATCACAGGACCAGGTATTATTATTATTATTGTTATTATTATTATTATTATTGTTATTATTATTATTATTATTGTTATTATTATTATTATTATTGTTCTTGTTCTTGTTCTTGTTCTTGTTCTTGTTAATTATTATGATTATATATATTTGTTGGATACTCTGATGTTAAAAAAGCGAAATGTTTAAAGTATTAGATACTGATTATTATGTTCAATATGTCAGACTTCATTCTTCAACAAAGTTCCGTTAATATAAGTCTTGTATCTTACCAATAGATCTTACATTTCATCCTAACAATCTTACTCTCCATCCTGATAATCTTACATTCCATCCTAACAATATTCACATTCCTTCTCAAAAAATCTTACATTTCATCCTAACAAACTTACTCCCCATCCTGATAATCTTACATTCCATCCTAACAATATTCACATTCCTTCTTAAAAATCTTACACATTTCATCCTAACAATCTAAACTTTCCATCCAAACAATCTTAAATTTAATCCTAATAATCTTATATTCCATACTATCAATCTTACATTCCATACTATCAATCTTACATTCCATAATATCAATCTTTTATTTTCATCCCAATAATCTTACATTCCTTCCTAATAATCTTACATTCTTTTCTTTCTAATAATCTTACATTCCATCCCAACAATCTTCACATTCCTTCCTGGCAATCTTACATTCCATCCTAATAATCTTACATTCTATCCTAACAATCTTACATTTCATCCAAACAATATTACATTTAATCATAAAATTTTAAATTCCATCCTTAACAATCCTCACATTCCTTCCTTATAATCTTACATTCCATTCTAACAATCTTACATTACATCCTATCAATCCTACATTCCATCCTAACAATCCTACATTCCATTCTGGACTCTCCTAATACTCCCTCAAATATAAAGGTCTATCTGTCAATTGTTATAAAATCCTGCCAACGGCCTGTCTATCTTTAATGTTAAAAACCTTTACACCATGTGTTTAGTCTAAATATAAACAAACAGTTTTCAGAGCTGGGTTTTAAAACTTAAATCCTTCAAGGAACTGTCAACGTATTTTAAAGTTAACCGCAACTAAATGAAGGGTCAAAATCAGTTTAATGGAGATATCTTCGTCTTTCTTTCTGAAAAATTGATAATGTTGAATGACTCGTAGATTTGTATAGAACCAGATGATCTGAAAATGGCTACAATTTTTCCAGCTTGATACTGTTGTCTCTCATTTAAATTTTACAAGGTTATTTAGTGAATTCTTTATGACCAAATTCTTATTAAAGGAATTATTTAGAATTAAGTTGAAAATCGGTTATATCTTTAATTTATATATAAAATATATTTTTGCAACATTAATAAAATTTCTGGATTTAAGATTAAAGCATGCTGCTTCTATTATTGTTTTAAAGCAGGGTCACTGAACTTTTCATTATTTATGGCGTGAGTTCTCAACTCTACAATTTAATCCTTTTTTTTGGTGATATTTTAAACGACCGTAGCCTCAAATAAATATAAATAATTTTGGCAGATATATGGCACCCCCTCCTCCCTCAAGCCTTCCATAAATCTATATATATAAAGTAATATCTTTTTGTCTGTTTGTTTGGATGTCTGATCATAACTTATGAACCTATGGACCGATTTGCCTCAAATTTTGACTGGAAAACTCGTTAAACCCACATTATCGTTATTGTTCTAGTCTAAGCTGGGTTTCCAAGCAAGTACATCCATAATTTTAATTTTAAAATACTACGTATTTATTCATTTACCTAAAGCTTTATGCAAAAAAGGGGCATCTTAATCTCCAATTTATTAAAAATTGTATTGGATTTAAGTTGCTAGAAATTATCAACTATTTGTTTTTCGCTTAAGTTTCATATCTTCTTTATTATAATAATGGATCATGGGGAACAACCCTGCCCCCTGCCCCCCTTCCTCGCTATTCGTTACGATGTGATGAACCATTGAACATTTTGATTTGATTAAACAGATATTCACGCTTCGTGCATACTTTGCAAATAAACTAAAACCTGAAAAAAAGTCTCAACTAATTTAGAATAAATGGGAACTATTCTGAAAACTTATTTAGAATTAATGGGAATTATTCTGAAAACTGATTTAAAATAAATGGGAACTATTCTGAAAACTAACTTAGAATAATTGGGAATTATTATGAAAATTGATTTATAAAAAAAATTATTCTGAAAACTAATAAGAATAAATGGGAATTGGTCTGAAAACTGATTTAAAATACATGGGAACTATTCTGAAAACTAATTTAGAATAAATGCGAACTGTTCTGAAAACTAATTTAGAATAAATGGGAACTATTCTGAAAACTAATTTAGAATAAATGGGAATTGTTCTGTAAACGAATTCAAAATAAATGGGAACTATTCTGAAAACTAATTTAGAATAAATGGGAACTATTCTGAAAACTAATTTAGAATAAATGGGAATTATTTTGAAAACTAATTAGAATAAATGGGAATTGGTCTGAAAACTAATTCAGAATAAATGGGAACTATTCTGAAAACTAATTTAGAATAAATGGAAACTTTCTAAAAATTAATTTAGAATAAATGGGAACTATTCTGAAAACTTATTTAGAATAAATGGGAACTATTCTGAAAACTAATTCAGAATAAATGGGAACTATTCTAAAAACTAATTTAGAATAAATGGGAACTATTCTGAAAACTAATTCAGAATAAATGGGAACTATTCTGAAAACTAATTTAGAATAAATGGGAACCATTCTGAAAACTAATTCAGAATAAATGGGAACTATTCTGAAAACT